GCCATAATGTATGTGCTGGACTCGATGCTACCATCTGGTAAAGAATCAAAGAAGAAAAAGAAGAATATAAAGAAAGGAAAGGAAGCGATGTTGCCGAAAGAGAAGGAAAAATGGCATATTTTATGGTATGCCTTTTCCTATATAATGATATATAAAATTTTGTTGGTGAAAGCTTCTCATTCACTTTGTTCTTATTCTCAGAAAAGCAGGTTTGTAGAAATATTAATGAAACTGAAACCTGAACTTGTTGATGACAATTATGACCTTGAGTTGAAAGTGGTGCCTATGGAACAGCAACCAACGACGTGAGTAAAAAAGCTGAAATTGTGTACATGTAATTAAGTGTATATTTCCCAACTACGTGACAAATTTCATATTTTTTGTAGATCTGATTATGGAATGTATGTCATCTTTTGCCTTAGACAGTGGAATAATACTACATGAGAGGAATGGGGCAGCCTTACTATGTCTCCTCTAACAATGGTAGGAATAAATGTTAAAGTAAGATATAATTTGTTATGTGTGACAGTTTTCTGTCTTATGAGTTGACTTTATCTGTTGTGTAGGAACAATTGAGTGAAATGAGTAGTGAGGTATTGTATTGGTTGGTGACTCATCCACACAATAGAGTGGGCTCTCAAGTCATGATGTCCATTTCAAATCCTGGGCATGCACGATCCAAAAGATTGAAATCATAGTGTAGACATTTGTGATATGTAAATTAAACCTTTATGTAATTATGTTTTTTTTTTGTGGCTTCTTGTATATGATACAGCAATTAATTTTAAAAAAAACTTTGACTATATGTTCAAGAAATTTGACAAACCGTTATTGATTTTCATTGACTCACGTTATTTTCAAAACTGACATTCAGTTTTTCATAATATATGTTACGCAATTTCCAAGTGAGGTTGGTGGAACACAAATTGTGCCTAGCAGCTTATCCTTACATAATGAATTCCCAATTCACATTAGGCTCTTTCAAAACATACATTCAGCTTTTTTCCAAGTTAGGTTAGGACAGTCACAAAAGACTTTACTGGAATCCAACTTGTGCCACGTCGGTTTTCATCAAATAATAAATTTCCAAGTCACATTAGGAACTTTGACAACATATGTTAGTTACTTTTCCAACTTAAGTTACCAAATTCTCATGTGAGGTTGCTGGAACAAAACTTGTGCCAAATGGCTTATTCTTACGCAGTCAATTCCCAAGTCATATTAGGCTCTTTCAAAACATTTGTTCACCTTTTTCCCAAGTTAGGTTAGACCATTCCCAAGTGACTTTGTTGGAACCCAACTTATGGCAATACTTATCCTTTAACAATAAATTCCCAAGTCACTTTAGGCATGTTCATAACATACGTTAGTTATGTTTGCAAGGTAGGTTAGGGAATTTCCAACTGAGGTTTTTGGAACCCAATCTGTGGCAAGATTTATACAAAAAAAAAAGAGTTCCCAAGTCATGTTAGGTCATTTCACATTATATGTTAGCTACTTTTCTAACTTAGGTTAGGAAATTCTGAGGTAAGGTTACCGGATCTCGATTTCTGACAGGTATCTTCTGATAAACAATCACACCCAAGTGGGGTTATTCATTTCATAACTTATGGTAGGAATTTTTCTTGCTTTGGATATGAAATTGCCAACCAACGTTATTGGTTCCCATTATCTGACAAGTCTCTTAAATGTCTGAAATACTGTAGAAAATATTAATCCCAAGTAAGGTTCTATGTTGTCAGTAGTTGCATTAGCAATATCCCTATACTACGTTACTGAATTCAACAGTCTTATGTCATGACAGCATTTTTACTCAGACAAATTTAGACCTAAAATTTTCATCAGCTTTATATTACACTAATTGCAATACATGTACACCAAATTTCCATCCCTTTTTACCTAAAAAATATCCTAGCTACCTAAATGGTACCTATGCAGTCCTTATCAAAAGAAAAACATAGACTGCAATCCCATTTACATAACCTATCACCTCCACAAGTATAAAAAAACATATGAGGTGGCTACCTGTACAAAAGGTCATTCAACAGCAAAATGTACAAAATAAATAAAAACCATATGCATTTCAATTTTAAACTAACTAATATGCATAAGGTTTTCATCCCCTTTTAATCCCTACATTAGATTAGGATTCCTACGTCTATTCTTGGTATGCCCAGCTTGATTACATCTTGAGCAATGATACACTTTTTTATTTTGAAACTGTGACTCTCTTTGCTTGGTAGGTGGTCGCCCTGGGGGACATGTAGTCAGTGGTGGTTCCAAAAAGGTATTCTTTTCATAATCTTCATAATGTAGCTCAGTCAACTAAGGCATGTCAATGGTTTCCACCGGAATCATTATGGAGCTGTAAATTTTTTCTTATGCATGAATAGTGTAGCATTCTTCAACATATGAATACACATTACCCTGAACCAATTTTATTGCTGCACATGCATGTGCCCAAGGAATTCCTACCATTTGCCATTCTTGACAAGAGCATTCTCGCAATGTTAGATTCACTCTCAAGTCATTGTTTCCTACCTTCACTAGTATCATATTCACACTATAATGTTCAGCCACCATAACTTCAGCTCTCAATACATTCTCCCTCAATTTTGCCTCAACACGTGGTCTAACTCTGTTTGACCAATTTGCTATTTCTATCTTGCTATTGTATAGCTTCCTCGCTAATTTTGCTCAGTGCTCATTTATCAACGCACATATATGATGTTTTCTCTCTTTCACTAACCAAGCATTGAAAGATTCAGCATGGTTTGATGTTATATTGTCCCATCTTTTGTATGAAAATCTTGCTAACGCCCTTGATGTTATATTCAACATGTCGATTGCCATCAAATATTGCATGCACGCCCTTGACACTATGATTCAGCATGGTTTGATGTTTTCTCTCCTTATATGGACCACTTAAATGACTTCCATCGATAAACAAAATTGGACGAGCAACTTAGAGAAACCCTTTGATGCAGCATCCATATACAATAAAAAGTCTATCAAATCTATAATTTGTCGAGGCAACCCACTTTGCAACTGTGTCTGGGTCCGTCTCCTTCGATTTCTCACAAAGCCATGAAATCAACATGTATGACTGTTATGGAAGCCCATGTATTTCCTCCAATGCTCTATCTTTTCCCCTCAAAGCTTGCCGATACGTGAGATTTAACCCATACTCTTTGTAGAGGTCTTGTCTAATCTCATTTGAAGTTTTCTCCATATTCCCCCTCACAGCATCAATGATGATTGATGATGTCAATCTTGAGTTAGCCTTTTGCTTTAATAGGAGGTTGTCTTGAGTAGAGTACATGTGTTCATTGTGAAATTTTTTCACACACAATATAGAGGTTGTCTTCTCAAGAGCATAAGTTGATATTTTCCATTTACAACCATCAATATTGCATTTGATAATCATCTTCTTAGGGCTGTTTCTCACAAATATGTAACCAAACCTATGAACAAGGCTGTATTTATATAGTGCTTTTCTGAATACAATTGCATCATCAAATGTTTGGCCAACACCCATAAATAAATCCTTCCATTTTACTGAATTAACCTCAGGCAGTGGTGCAAGAGCATTTTGTGTTGAACATGGCAAAGAGGGTGATATACTTTCAAGCTCTTGCCTACAAGGAGATCTTGGCAGTGACCATGTTAACAAATTCTCCATCCTACATTTACAATTACTTACAGGTTAATATAAATGGTCATAAACTAATTAAACACACAAATAACTAAGAATAACAACTTACTCCATCGAGTTATCCATTGCTCCATTTATTTCATTATCATTTGTCTCAACATACACATGTGCTGACTCATCATTATACTTTATCAAATGTTGTACTCCCTCATCGTCTAACAAATCTATGTATGTGTTTTCACTAAACTTCACTGTAAATTTCAAGTCAGCTACACCACTTTCAACTCCTGTCACTAATGACACCATCCTCAACAGCTCTTCATGATTTATGCCTTCTCTAATCAATTTAAAAATTAATCTCCCACCTTCATAGGTCATCTTCCCTTGTAAATCTTTTACAAAATGTCCATCAACATGAAGATAACAAAATACTTCTTTTGTTGAAGTACTTACCATATGGGAAATAAACCTGGAACAACTACAAGTAACATACAAATTTAGTACTTCACAACCGTCCATTCCATAATCCCAACCTTGACTACATAAATTCAGCATCCATGTTACATTTTTCAACATTCACGCACTTTTCAACACAGATCATAAAAATTCAGTATCCATGTTATATTTTTCTTATTTTTCACTCCTCAACTTTTTCAACTATGTCATTCTTGGAAATCATTTCTTCCGCATATCTATATATAAAGTCTAGTAATCATTAAGAAGACTACTTTTTTTTCCTAGGTATAAAACAAAGAGAAATGGTGCAAGACAACATTTGTAAAGATTAAAACTTTCTTTCTATGCGTGCATGACAGAGGACATGTGTAAAAAAAGAAAATAGAGCAATGGAAGAGAAATGGAAGAAGAAGATGCAAACTTCTCTTCCATGCATGGTAGAGGACGGAATGTAAAAGAAGCAATGCATACAATTACCTATTACAAGATGATTATACTCCACTAATTTTTCTCTAACATTTTCAGCGCACGAGAGCACACTCCATTAGTATTTTTCCCATCGAAAAACAAGAAAACAGAGCACACGAGATGAGCTTCTTTCGTGTTACCTTTCAATGTTTAGTGAGGGGGCAGTTTTGTAAACTCAAGTTTGTTTTTTATCCCACTTAAAGACCATGGTCTTTAATTGGGATTTCTATTTTTCAGGATTCCTAACTGAAATTAATGTCCTTAGGGAGTCCTTAATCGTCATTCTCCCTATTAAATATAACCGGTACAGTTATATATTTTAATTTTTTTTAAAAAATTATTTTTGAATATTTTTACACCTGATATTACTTGTAATAGGTGTAGATATTCTTTTTAAACTTATTTTGCTGTAAGCCCTTCTGTTTCCTTTTTCCTTGTTTCTTAGGTGCCGCGTCTCCCACTCTGCCACTCTTGCTCTCCTTTCTGTTTCGGCGTATTGTCATCTTCTCCATCCACCACTCCTCGCCCTCCGTCGTATCCTGCTATGATATAAAATCTCAAGTGTAGTTCTCGTCCTCACTTCTCAATTCCGTTTCTGCACAAGTTGAGCTTTAGTCTTCACACCATTCTTGCTCCACTACTGAGGTGCATCCTTTGCCAGTTCTTCCCTTGTATTTTCTTTTAGTGGTGATTATATGAGGTTGCTCTGTTACAGATCTATTTAATTTTAAAATTGCTAAATCTTACACACTATTTTGGGGGTTAACTATGTATTTTCTTGTTTCTTTTCTGGCACGATTTTAGCGATTATCTAAGCCCCTTGTTGGACTTGATTCTTATAGGGTTTGTTTTATTGGGGTTCTGATGCAGTTTAACCCAAGCTTTGAACTCGCTCTTAAGTAAGGAAGTTTCTTTATCGGGGTTATCTAGAATGCTTCGCAAAGCGACCCTTGCATCGGAGCCAGTCTCATTAGGCTTGATTGCTATGGTTGCTCTGTTGAAGTATGTGCTTATTATGCCTTTATCATATCTGCTGGATGTTCTTTCCTTTACTGTTCATATCAATCCATGAATCTTATCTTAGTTTCAAATTCTTGGCTTTGAAGGAATGAAATTTTGGATTTTAAAGTGATAGAAGGCATGCGAGTTGAAGCAAGTGTTAATTATCATGAAGTTCTTATGAAGTTTTGGGGAGTAGGTATGGAAAGAAGATAAACAAAGTTTATATACATATGCTAGAATTATCAGAATAACTTAATCTTCAAAGGTAAAATCAAAATATCATGACCTTCGAACCAATTATCATTTGGCTTGATTTGAGTTGATTATGATCTATGGGCCATATATCTGGATTATGTGTTATAGCATTTGGCCAAGCAAGCATATTTTTGTGGTGTCATAGTGAAAGAGTATATCATTGAGGTGGATGTTTTTGTGTGTTATCTTGTAGACCAAAAAAGTAGAAAAGCTTTATATAAGATAAATTTGGTAGCCACCAGCACTGAGGTGAGTGTTTTTAAAAAATAAAAAATAAAAATATTTACTGTATGATATGAAATAAAAAAGTTATAGCTTTTAGTTTTGTTTAATAATTTCATCGCATGTTTGAATGACCCCCAACAAGTTTCCCCTTTATTTTTGCTCCTTTTCGTTGAAGGTTATGATGACAAAGAATATGTCTACATTTATTTATATGTTGGCAAGATTTGAATATAATTTTCATATGTGTGTCTCTCCTTGTTATAAATTCATCACACCATTTCTCTCATTTGTATTGGTAGCTAAAACCACTCTAGTCACTTGAACAGTTTCTATCTGTAATAGCTACCAAAATTGTTTTATTTATCCATCTTGTGGCTAGTTGCAATTGAAGAGTCATTAAGGTAAACAGTTTGACTGCAGAAGCTACACTAAAATGGCTACTATGCTTAGATTTGGCTTTCTTGTGGATGTGACCCTAAAATATTTTATTATTTTGAATTGTTCCCTGCTGCAATGCAGAAATACAGACTTGGCAAGCAATCAAGCAAAGATATGGTTGAGGGATGCAAAGACGGTATAGTTTTTATGCCCTTTTCTTTTCCAATTATTGCTGTATTTGTCTTTTCTAACATAAAATAATGGTTCTTCCTCTCTTTTGTATTTTCTTGGATAAAAGGTTGATTTGGGACCTTTATTTTGTGTTTCTACTATAATCTAATTGCTTTAACACTTAGTCTAATTGATAGACATTAATGAGGAACTGTCTCTAAGCTAAACTTTTAGGTTAGTGTTTACTTCAAATGACTTCTCATTTAAAATTTGTGAAAGGAATATCAACTTTATATCTTTTAGAAAGCCCTGGTGCTGACAGCTCTTTCCCAAAGTTGCCAACTACTGATGCGAATGAGTAAGATAGAATTCCTTCCTTTCTTTTCATTTTTTGTTTGCTGGACAAATGTGTGATTTGTTTTAAAAGTAGCGAGATGATAATAACACATAGGGCTTGAGATTTTTAGTTGGTGTTTGGAGCTACACTATGATGATGATGATGATGATGATGATGATGATGATGATGATGATGATGATGATGATGATTTTTAATTCTAAATTTGCAATATTTTTTCTGATTCATTTCAGAAGGCTATTGATGAATTTGTCATATCTCATCTTTTACTTAGACATATATATCTATTATATGCCAACATATTTATCTGCACTATGATGATAATATTTATCTAGATGATGAGGAGGAGGAATGATCTGTCAAAACTCTAAATATCCCAACTGTTATTTTAGGCTCCAGAGTTCTCTTCATTGTCTAACGCATCCCTTGTTGATTGAGGACATAGCAATGTCATGGAAAAGATATGTCAAAGAAGCAATCTTTGATTATGCACGGAAGCTTGGTGGTGAAACCTTTAGATCGAAATATGGAGGGTAGGAACATGTTGAAGGAACTTAACATGAACATGCTCATTAGTCACCAACATGAACTTATTAATCTTTCATACAGTGATGATAAAAGAAGTTGTTGTAAGTTAATTAAGCATAAGGCAGTAAATGGAATGTGCTTCTTTCTGTGTTCCTTTTATCTTACTTAAAAGCTCATGTTGGTTCGGTGTAGAGGATGTTAGTACATGGAAACCATTTGTAATGATTGATAATCTTTCTAGCTATATTAATATTTTTGTGTTTAAATTTATGTTCTTGCTATGTTGTTTAAATATATATGTACTTTTTAGATGATTGGTAATTTAAATATATTCTTTAAATGATCTTTTTTTTTGGATAAAAAGTGATTTAAATCACCTCCTATCCAAAAAAATACCCTTATTTCTTTAAAAAAGATATGGCATATCTATACTAATTGTGATTACAACCGGTGTAGATATCCACATATCTAAATTAGTTGTGATGTTATAATTGGTGTAGATATTGTGCATCTACACCGGTTTTGGTGACAATCCGTGTAGATTTGATGCACATATCTACACTGGTTGTATAATCAATGTAGAAATTAACAGGCTTTCTACACCAGTCTTATCTACATAGGTTATAAAACTGGTTTAGATAGCCAATTTTAACTGATGTAGATATCTCTTTCTTTACTAATTTTAAAACTGCTTTAATTAATTGATTTGAAAAGAGTTACAGCTACTTTAACTTTGTTAAAAGAAATTACAGCTGCTTTAATAGTATTAAAAAAAATTAAAGTGGTTTTAACTTCCACTACTCCCAATTGTTGCACTCCAACGTCCACAAAAAGAAAACAAAATTATTGCAACACGACAGATATAGTACTTGCGTTGGGAAGTTTCAAGGATCCTACTATTATATCTTGTGTTTGAATGAGATGATGACTCGCAACTCTCAATAATCCTACAGTAAATATAATACTCCCTCCCTATTCTATAAATATTTTTGAAAGTGATTTGGTATCTTAAAATATAGGAGGTTTTGAAAAAAATAAGGTTTAATTGAAATAATTATCCTAATATTACCCCTCATTATTTCACTCCATTTCTTTTATTATTAATGAAGGATATCTTTAAAAGTTTATTGAAAAATTAAGATTGTATGCTATATCTGATGAATTTCATTGGTTATTTGTCTATATTCTCAGTTATTTCTTTTAATTGTTTTGTTAATTGATTCATGATATTCAATCTATACAAGTAACAAATTCCTTTCTTTTAGTTTTGTTATCATCAAAATATTTGGTTCAACATTTATGTGCATTAGTTAATTTATCCTATATGTGTAATTTTGAGCTATTGGCTGTATTTAATTTTTCTAAAGTTTTCTCATAATATTTTTTTGGGATTTTTCTTTCTTAAATACAGTTGATCATATCTTCTCCTGAGTCTATCAAGACTACCGAATTTCTTGAATATTCTTTATGTATTACTAAGTTATACTTGACATCTCATGAGGCCTCACAATCTCCCTGATATAGATCATTGCTAGTATTTCTAATGAATCATTAAATAAAATTGTTAGGAAGAGTGTTGATTTTGTCAGGAGATCCACAATCACTCAAATTGAATTATGTCCTAATTGTGTTATTAGTAACCCAAATATATAGTTCACTGAAACACTGTTCCATTTTTATTTTGGAATTTTCAATGATTGTAAAGTTCACACTATTCCATTTGACCTTTTGGCAAATCAGACATTAAGATACAAATTCTATCACGTCTCTTTTCATGCCTGATCACTAGTGGCAATTCATATTCTAATACATCTTTATAGTTTCATGATGGATTGTGTATTTACAGCAATGAACCTAGCTTAAGATCACTTTCTTTATATCATCAACTCCTCTACCAACAGTTTGTGGTTATATCAATCATGGGAAGAATATAGCCACGTTTTTCCAAAAAAAAAAAAAAAAAGCTCAAATCCATGGTTTTTGAAGAAACCGTGGCTATCGTTCCAATTTGACAAGATGTCAGACTCCGGCAAGGTTAAGCCACGTTTTTTAAGAAAACGTGGCTCGCTACTAGCTTATATTTTTTTAAAAAAATTTCAGCAACTTTTTTTGGTAATTTAAATATTTCAAAAAAAATTTCAGTAATTTAAATGTTACAAATTTTATATTATATTTTTATTTTTTGTAATAGTTTAAAACATATCTCACGCAATTTAATTTTAAAAATATTTTTCATAATTAAATTTTATTTATTGTATTGTCAGATTATTAATACAATTGATTTAGATTATCAGAACAAATGACTTAGTATTCATTTTAATGATTTATCCATTACTGCAGAAGTATATATTTCTGTTTCTACTTAATTTGTAAATTTATGGTTTGAAATATTTTTAGTTAATATTTTATATATCATATTAATATCAAATCTTTGCCACCTGTGAAACAAAAGTAAAAATATAGTTAGAAAATTTAGATTAAAAGAAGAAACTATAAACTAGAAAAAAAGAATAACGACTGACCTGAAATTATGATAATCGGTGAAGTTTCTGGAAAAAGAAAAAAGATTAAATTAATATTTAATAAAAACATGAGAACACACAAATAAAATAAGAAACGAGATAAAGAAGAAAAAGAATGAAATTAGAAACAACTTACAAAATTTTTTAGAGATGCAATAGAAGAAATGACGTCGGAGAAGAAATCAAAAAACAAGCAAACAAATAAAGGCAGATACCATGCGCCTATATAGCCACGTTTATAGCCACGTTTAACGTGGCTGCTGCCACATATTTTAACAATAAAAAAACCCATTTATTAATTTTTCAAAATAATTAAATTTAGTTGTTTTACTTTTTACTTTATAAAAAATGAAATATTACTATTTTAATAATTAAATTAAATTGTTTTAATTTTTACTGTATAAAAAAATTAAATACTTTTATTAATGAATGTGAATAATTAAATTTTCCTAATAACAAAATCATTACATAATTAACTATATTTTATTATGAAAATTAATTTTTAAATAAAATTCAAGTGATTAAAATTTATAGTATTAATTTTAACCCATTAATTAATCTGTAAAAAATTAAATTTTTTGTCATAATAATTAAATCAAGTTATTTTAATTTTTACTATATAACAACAAAAATGAAATATTTCTATTAATGATTGCGAATAACTAAATTGTTCTAATAACAAAATCATTATATAATTAACTATATTTTGTTATATGCAAATTCACTGTTGAATAAAATTCAAGTGAATAAAATTTATAGTATTAATTTTAACCAAAAAATCATTATATAATGATAAAAAATATATTATATCTCTAATAACTATTTTTTATTTGTTAAATAAAATTTAAGTTTAAGTTAATGAAAGTTATATTATTAATTTTAATACAAATAACTTATATATTATTGATAAGCTATCACACTCATAAAGAAAATATTACTAACTGAAAAACAACTTGATATGAAATTCTTCATCAAAGTTTTAACAAAGTTAAACATAAAGGAAACAAAAAAAGAAAAATCATTAGTCCATTACAAATAATAATTCCTAGTGGAAAATTCATCTATGAAAAGAGCTTGGAGAATTGTTCAAATTTATATGTATTCTGCTGTCTAGACTAAGATTGGAGAATAAATCTAGCAAATCAAAACAAATCTGTAGAGTTTGAAAATATAAGATGAAAAAAATACAAATAAAACAAGTTGATTGTATTTAATGAATTAAAGTATCGCATTTGCCATTTCACTTCCATCGACTTTATTATTGTTTCTTTCATTTCTTTTTACATGGCCAGAAATTGTTCTTCCCTTTCTCTTTCCCTTTCTCTTTCTAGAGCCATCCTTTCTCTTTCTAGAGCCAACCTTTCTCTCTCCATAGACAACAACTCCGCTTCCCTCTTGTAAATTAGTTCTCTCTCATGCAACTCTTCTTGCAATCTCTTGTTTTGCTTCTCTACTTGTGACACCCTTTCCTTTACTTGATCAATTTCATTTTGTACAAAAGGGCTTGATCTGCCTCGACTTGAATGAGAACATTTGAATACCCGTGTCGGTGTTAGATCTAATCCCAATCCCTTCACATGTCCATAGTGATTTTAGCCTAAAGCTCGCACTAAAATATCATTACTAACACTAGAATCTAATGAATGCTGACTTTCATATTTTTTAAGTTATTTCTATTTAAAAAAAGAGAAATTAGAAAGAATTTGACTTGTTAATTTAATTTTTAGTTAATCTTTGAGCAAATAATTATTATCTTATTATAGCTGCTGTTCATTACAAGAATTGCCATCTTTATTTAAATGAGTTACTTTGTAGAGCTCCACAAAGTTCACTTGTCGCCGTCTTCTTCTTCGTATCAAAAAAAAAAATCTTTGTTATTGAATAAAAAATATATAAAAATATTTAATGTGATAAATTAAAAATTAAAAAAAATACCATATAACCCCTTCTCCTTGCAAAATTGAGAGTTCCACTCGTATGGTGAATCTTCAAGTGACCCCTACTTTCAATTTCTTATGTGAAATTCTATAAAAATAATTATTATTAATAAATGAATTTTATTTTAAGAAAAAATTATTTAAAAATAAAATCTTACTTCTGTGTTAGGATTTGCATGGTAATCAACAAATGCTGCCCAATGTTCTTTAGATACACCATCTAGCACATCATTCTTCAATTCTTTTATGGATTTGGTACCATCTTGATTATTTTTGTACAAATCATATTTATATTCTTTGCACTTTTCCCCCATTGCTTTCAGAATAAACTTTTTGTGGCCCAAATCATCAATAAGAAAATGAGCCTGCATAATATATATATTAATAACACAAATAATAGTTACAATTAATGATAATTATGAAAAGAAACATCATTTTTCTACTAATTTCCTTGACAATATTTTCATAAACATGGTCCTTCATTGTGTCAAGAATCTTGTACCAATCAGTATATCTTAATAGAAAATTATTATAATTAAGTGCAAGAATTCCTAAAAAACTTGTCAAGAACCTGCTAGCATCTCTAATTGGTTGATTAAGTGTATTCCATTGCATGTGTGAATTCTTTCACTATTTTGAAGCAAAAATACATCTTTTTCTTTTAAGCATTGAATGGAAATGTTTTCCACTTTCATTTGAAAAAAAGATTATCAGGAAAAAAAGCAAGGAAATGTATATGAAAAAGGTAAAATATTAGATTTAAATACCCATAACGGTCACTCGAAATCCACTTTTTCTAAAACCTTG